CTTTAATTATTAAAGTTGGAATTTTATTTAAGTAATCCGAAGTCGGATAATCTAATTATTCAAGCCCAATTAATTTTGAGCGAATCCAATAATTTCAGTCGGCCATTTTAATTCGAGTAGTCGAATTAATTTCCAAACCCAAGCGATATTTTAAATATCGAGCCATCGTAGTATTTTATTCCGGGCCCAATATTTAATTGGAGCCCAAGTAAAATTAAATTTACTAGCCTTGTTTTAAGATTTTTGAAGCCCGGTTGAATGAAATCCTAAGCCCGATTTTAGGCCCAATATACAAGTGAAACCCTAGCTACTTTATACATATAAATACATACACTTAGCTTTTCTTTTCCTCCCAAAAGCCGCCCACGCAGCAGCCCCATCTCCCTCCTCTCTCTCTTCACCATCTTCACCATCTCCACCATCTTCATTTTTCCGGCCGACCACCACCACTGCTCAGCTCTGTTTTTCTGGCGACCCTCCACAGCGAGCTCGGACCACCGTTCGCCGTCGAGCCGCAGCAGCACCACGCCAGCTCATCTTTGTCGTCGCTGTCCTTCCGCCCGAGCTCCGCCGACGGCGACCAGCTCGCTCACAGAAGCTCCGACGACGTTCCCAAGCTCAGCCACTGCCACCGACGACTCCGTTCTCGCTGGTAAGTGTCGCTGCTCACCTCCAGGCCACCACGACGAGCTCACCTCAGTTGTCACCACTATCTTCTCCAACTCCTGCGACCGTACTACCCGACTTCAGCGACGAGCGCGACCCTTCCACGCGCACCAGCACCTCCACGCGCCACCACCATCGCAGCTCCTCAACCCTGTTTTTCCGGCGAGATTTCGCAGCTTCACGTCGTACGACGTCAGCAGACAGCCATCTACATCCTCACGCGCGCCTCCGTATAGTTGCGTCTCTCTAACGCGCGCCCAAGCCCTAGATCCGTGGTCAACACCCCAAGTCCGAGCTCACAGCTCGGGACCCGACCCGACCAGCAGAAAATCTGACCCGAGCAGCCTGAAAACCGACCCGTTCAGCAATCTTGGAGCTCCAAGATCTGACCCAAGCCCTAGATCCGGCCGCCTTGTTCC